TTATCAGTTATTCACACATGTATGTTCCGCTTCAGTATTTAAAATCTTTCCTTGAGAGTAAACCTAAACTACTGCCGTAGCACCTTAAGTTCTTCTACAACGATGGCAACCAAGCATGAAACCAAATATGGAAGAAATTGGCACTCTTTGCTTGTAATTATTTTGCAGGAGAATTAAGAGTTCCACCACTGAATGTACAAAGCACTTTGCCTTTCCATAATAATTTACAGGAGGTGGGAAAGGAAGAACGAATTCCAACACCTGCAGCCTCCATACCGCAGAATGGTCACTACAGCGATGGCCCTTAAAATGTGCGTTATATACAGCGATAAAACGTTTGTTATACGCAACAAAAGAACAGCCACATCTTTTCATCCACTGTACTGTGCTGCCTAACAATGCAACAGTGGTTAATCCAGCAGTCTGACTGCTATCTGGAGAGCAGACAATCAGGTTTGCAAAACGAATCATGTACGAAGCATTATTCTCGAGGTTAATGACCATAAGAAAAGTAGGATGTTGATTCATCTACACTGAATCAATGTAGCAGTACAGCTTGTGAAGTAAAAAGGTGATGTGGTAATGGCACTTCACAGTTATCTTAACACCTGAAATGGGCTGCAGTTCAGTATAAGAAGTTTGGAACTTTCGTAGTTAACCAGGTAGGAAAAACAAGCAGATGCTAAAAATCTACAAGTATGTGCTAAGATTTTAAGAAATCAGGAAGAAATCCAGAAACTAAGGGAGATCTCTGAACCCTGAGACCTTTCAAGAGAATAGGCCATATAAGTTTCCCCTGCAGACTGAGAAGAAACTGAGAGTTTACAACACAGAGGAATGGCTGACTTCTGCCATGTTATAATAATGAAATCCATGCATCACTCTTCTTCTGTCTCTTCACTGAAGGTGACTGAATTTCAGAAAGTCAAGATGTCTCAACAGCACAAATGAGAAGAGCAAAAGCTGAGATATCACAGCAATGGCCATAATCCAAATGTGAAACAGACCTCACTTCAGACAGAAACGTATTACAAGAATTTCACAAAGGGCTAATCCAGCGGCACTAAAAAAATCCACATTGGACAGATTTCTGTTATGGCAGATGGAGAGCAGTTGTGAAGGAGAAATTAATGACGCTTTTTTTTCAAATAACACAATGCAGTTTGCGACACATGAATTTGCAAAGAAGTAGTAAAATTAAGCCACTATCAAAGAATGAGAAAGAAGTTCTTGCTGAAAAACTAAATACCAGAGACAGGACATTTCTAGCACTACGGAAGTGGAAGTGAAGGAGTGAATTTACACATGCAAATGAATGCAGGACAGCTTTAATGAGAAAGTGGCTGAAGTGTCTGCCTAAACTAGATCAACATCATGATATGAATGTGTCATCTGGTAGAAAGAGATGTACTGGTATATTTATCCCAGCACGTCAGTAACTCTCCCCAAACCTGGAGATCAGAGTGTAAGAAGCCAGAAAGGAAAGTATCTCTTCGGGGTCTTGTAGCATCCCATCAGGGCATACAAACCGATTTCTTCCAAAACCTTCAGATTTCTGGCAGGGAAATAAAAAGCTTTCCTGTGCTGCTACTCAAGCATCTTGATCGACGGAACTCTGAAGCACGCAAGTACCTATGTTCAGTAGGATGGGAGCATACCAAGGCACATCCTGTCCCACAAGTTACATCTCTCTTTAACCCTCGATAATACAGTGTTTGAAACTTCTCTCCTAGCTCTAAATCAAGTCACTAAGGAATACACAACTGTTCAAGTGATAGTTGCAGAAGAATTTTTATTCAGAAGTAAGCGGACACAATGCGCAAGTGAACTGCATGAAAACGGACAAGAAATCGAAGAAGTGGGTTCAAATCAGTACGATTAACAGCTGCATCTGCTTATTAACTTACTTAATTCAACAGTGTCCTGTGTTAATAGCTGAATTTTTATTTATATATATGATGTGATACAATCTATGTAACTATATTAATACCCAGCATTTCAAAAGATAGTGTAAAAGAGCAAAACAAAACATGGCACCAAGAAGGCTTTTCCTCCATAAAGAGCTGTGGACACTTGTTTGTCACCATGATAAATTAATACACAATTAACCATACATAAATTGCATAATTATGCCTTTTAGTGAAAAATCCAGCAGTAATTATGGATACTTTAAAAGGTACTATCCACATTAAAAAGTCAGTTACACAGCAAACCTTTTCACTCATATGAGGACATTGTGACCACCTGCTTCCCCTCTTCAAGGGTCCATGAATACCATAGTTAGTGGAGCAACCATTTTTATGGCTGTAGGACATACTGTGCACAGAATATGCTTCAGCTAAAATGAGAAGGTAAATACCACAAAAAAAATCAAAATATTTTCACTAGGGTACAATTATTTTTTAATATTATTAAAAATTTACACAGGAATAGAGACCCAAATTCTCTCTCATCAATTAGGAAAACAATGCAACAACTTCATGAAATTTAGAGACTGCAACACACTGTATTTCTCTGTAAAAGCAATACACTAACAAGCCTGAAATAAAATAAACTAGAACAATTCAAGTGAGGCAATTTAAATCAAACTAAATTTCTCCCTTTTATCCTTACTGGACTATTGTCAGTATTCTTTGGCTTCCAACATAACCAAAGCGGTGAATAAAGTAGAAATACGGTAGGCAGTGATATCAAAGATCACACTAGTCCAAGTTACTACATTTTAACAGCAGTATTTCAATAACCACTCATCAATAAAAAATACATTTCTTTCAATATTACACTACTGATTACTAGTGTTCGTGTAATAATGGAATCTTAACATCCCTGTTCTACTTTCTTTAAAAAACTAGGGATGGTGCAGTACTTGACGTACACTGTAACTATCAGGTATAAGCGGTACATTTGATTATCTGCAGTCACAAGGGATATTCTCTGCATCTTCACAAAACTAGATTTTGGTTACTGTAACTGTCTGAATAAACAAAGAAAAAATTGGATTAGAAGATCTAATCCCCATAAAAAAGTCCATATTCACCATCAGTACAGATCAGCACTTTAGCTCTAGTTAGTGCTTCTGTATTTAATAAAATTCTTGCCTTGGTCCTACATAGTCAATTATCATTTTACTTTAATATATACAAATTAGACCTCAAATATATGGATAAAATTCCTCTCCTTTTCTTCTAACTTAAGCCATAAAATAAAGAAGTCAAAACTTTTAGACCATCTGTTTTCAAGATGTTACAAAAATTAGGAAATCAACATAACCATTAGAGACATGGGACAAGTTTTCAAATCCAGAGAACCCAAAATTAATCAATGTCAAAAGCACATAGGTGGTTTTGGCCTAATTTAACATACTGAGCCTGGAAACTAGATTCTATGGGGAAAAAAAAAAAAAGATCTTCACCCCAGTCAGCAAATAGCTAGCTCTCTCAGGCGACAGGGTCGAGTCCTGATCCTCTAAATGACTAAACACGGGTTGCTCCACCAGCCTATTGCATTTGCATCCCTGACTTTACCATTTCCTAGACACGATCTGATATTTAATTACCTACAAAACTCGTGACAAGTCTATCCTACTGTAACACAGATGGAATTCCAAGTTAGAAAACTGAGAATTCAAATTATTTCCTGTTCACTAAAACTGCTATAATCCTACGCTACTTCTGCTGCAAATAGCTCTGAGCAAAGGCAGATATCACTTTCCCAAGTTTTACAGGAATGTTTTGCCTATGGCTTGCAAATGCGATGTTTAGAAACCGAAATTTTAGTTCTCTAAGTTAAAGTTGCAGCCACATCTCCAACCTCAGCTACTTAGTTTGAAAGTCCTATGGATGTAACACATCCTCTTCTTTACATCAGACTGTTAAGTCACTTATTTCACATTGTTTATGCAGTTCCACAACTTCTCTTTTGATTGGGTAATTTGTAAAAATGACAAGATTACATACTAATTGATGATGATAATTAAGGTTTGCTCAATTCCACAGTAAATTTAAATCCAAGTTTATCTTAAGATATCTGAGTACAAAATGGGAATTTATACATTTAAGACTGATTCCATGAACTTGTCATTAACTGAGACAGCTGCTAAGTTATTTCAGTGTCATTTTTCTATGACGCAATGTCTTCGTAAAAAGGAATTTGTTCATCACTATTAACTTAAAAGATACTCTATCTCCTGAATACTCTATGACACCATGAAGGAGTTAAATTTTATGGTAGATTTACCAGGGCAGCATTACAAAAACAGTAAGATGGAAACCAAAGGGTAAAACAAGAAATTAACTACATGATTCTTATTTCACTTACAACTTCGAAGTTTCGTATTGCAGGTTAAAATACAGTAACTAGTTACCATTTAAGATAATAAGGCTAGTTCTAATTAAAACAAGTTGCTTAAGTATTTACATTATTATAAGCCATAGAGCTTATACTCAACATTTCTAGGTGAAAACTGCATCCATTTTGTCCATGCTGTAAGTTGCAAAAGTTTGTGAGATTTTCTGAATGTTTTTGCAGTACATAAACCTTCAAAGAAAAAAGTTAACAGGGCAAATACACAATATACTAACAAACAGTATTAAACTAATTGTGAAGAGTGTGGGAGATGCTATTTTGCACATAATGTTGCTTTTGCATTGTTTTCTATCTTTATTCACCAGTGCAAGGTGTAAATTTGTTGTAACAAGTAACTACATGCTAGATAAAGTGTACAATCTGGGGCCATCCAACAGAAGTGTGATAAATATTTTAACGTATCGGATAGAAGTGCAATGCTAACGTAGCACACTGGTATCACTTAAGTAAAATAAACTTTATTACTAGACATGCAAAACATCTCGGGCTTCGTTACAGTTGAACATGTCTAGCTGTCTTTTAATAAGGTGTCTGCTGTTTTGACTTTTCTTTCTGACATTAGTATTGATGTTTACTGGTCTCAGTTAGTTAGCTAAACACACAACAATCAACAACAAAAAAAATACCTCACTTACTCTATTTGCGCACCATGAGCCACAAGGGCACTTATGGAATCCATACTACCAGACCGTGCTGCTTTATGAATAGGAGTTTCACCAACATAATCCTGTAAAGACAAACTACATTTTGTCAAGCAAAATCTTTCTACAAATTACAATCTTATTTTTACATTACACTTTAATTAAGAAAGCAGATATGTAAAAGCGGCATTTATTAGCAAATACACCAGGTACTTTATTACTATTTTAAAGTTTGCAGTAGGCTGTCAGGTACATTATTCAAGAAACAACGCTAAGGGCATCTAACTCACAAGATAAACCATATCCAGTATCTAAACAATCAGCAGAGCCATATTCAGCAAAACTTGTTAAAAAACCCCACAACATATATCACTGTGACAAGTTACTCTAACAAACACCTTTATTTTCTAGCACTTTTGTTTCCTAATATGTTGGACTGAGCAAGGCATCTTGAATTCAGCAGCATGGCAAAGTTTGTGGGACTACACGCTTTCAGAACCCGCCGACACACTTATGCAGTACTGTACTACACCATAAATACTCACCAGGTGAGAAGTACGTACATATAAATCTACTGTAATGTAAGTGTGCCCAGAGTTCACAGGACAGGCCAGATCTCTCCTGAGACATACGCACTGACTCATGTTTTATACGCTTTTATTTTCTGACTATCTTTATCCATTTATATTCCATTATAGTCAACCAGCAGAGCCAATCATTTAATCTTCTCCTATTATGTGTAAACATTCTGTGAGTAGTGTATTGCTTTTCAGGCAACTCCTCTCTACCAACTGTCTTCAGAGGCAACAGGGAGAATCTACAGCACTTTTACAAATGCAGCTGGCAAGCAGCAGGTAAATTCCATGCATCATGACGTACGATCTACAGGCTGCAAAATGAAATTCAGTACTTGCAATTAACCATCGGTATTAAGAACCACAGAGAAGAACCTGTAGTGAACGTTCAGCTACTGGTTTGTTATGTGATTTAATTATCGCTGTCCTCAACACTTTCCATGCACAGAAATTGGTTTTTTTCTTTCTGCCACATCCTCTTTCTCTCCAAATTTTTGACACAATACACTTGTCTGCTCCACCTATACTAAACGTGTTCTAAGTGTGTGTGCCTCATTTTTGCTTCCCTGTTCCTTTTATTAAAATATAACGCTAGCTATTAAAGTAACACAGAACCTTTACTGACTTGCCAGTCTTCATGCACAATAGTGTTCCCACCTAACTCTACAGTACTGGTTACGCTTTAGCTCTACTTGAAAAGTGAATATATCAAAAGTAAGATCATACTAACATCTTGAGTGATAAAAGGTAACAAGTGTTTTAAATTATCTGCCAAGCTTCTGAGAAATTAAATCACATCTTCTAGACCATGTAAATACAACTTGAAGATGAATTTTGGATAATGCGTTACACAATCTCAATTTTCTACTCACCAATTTTATTTCACGGTAAAATATTTTTTATAACAAGATACAAATTCACTGAGGCTAAGCCAGTTTACCAGTGCGTAAGACATATATTCAACCAAAAAGCGAACCACCTAGCACCCCCAGCAGGGAACAATAATGGTACCAGACAAAGTTTATGTTCTTATAAACTAAGAAAAATTGCTGAGGCTGACACTGTCTGAAGCAAAGAGTAAAAACCTCCTTGGAGTCCTTAGTGATCAGAAAAGAGCCACACAGTCCTTCTTCCAAAATGTCTGTCTGTAGCTGATGAATAGAAGACTGCTTTCCAATGAAGTTTATATAATTCCTCCTATTTATAACTCTTCTTGAAGTTACAGGGAGACAAGATATGTTTAACAGAGGAAATAATTTTCTTAACTATCATACATGGAAATTCATTTGGCAGTAACTTGTAATACATTTTCCTACCATGGAAGCTGTCTTTGATTCATCATTTTGTTATTTTTTCCCCCATCTCCCTTTTGTTAAAGAGGAAAAAGGGCAGGAAAGAAGTGATTTGCCTCTTTCCTTCGGCATTAGTACTCACAGTCCCCACCAAAACTTGGAAGATAATCATTCAATGTAAAGTTCAGTTTAGCGAAAGTTAGCTCAACTAGCCATGCATATAACAAAGATGACAAAAATCTCTACTAGCCCCATAAACCTAACATGCCCACAATAAGATCTAGAGAACTCAATTATTAAGTATTGCTGCGGGGAAAGGCTAGAAGGATGAAAAAAGACCTTTGCAAAAGGACTCCACTCAGCACTACAAGAGTAAGCTAACCTTATAGCAGCCAACAATCCTGTCACCAACGACCAGAAAAAGTTTAGTATCTCAGAAGAGAATACGTGTCCTGAGGAGGGCTTCTTTGAATCATTGCCCAGAAAAGTGTGCATCTCTTCTCTAAAGCTAAGGAATTGGGAAAAGACTTAAGAGAATGACAGAATATACAGATATAAATTTTTATAGTATGCGTTTGAATTACAGCACCTATATTTTAGTCATCACTAACGCTATCTTCTTTTGAAGTTCTCCTACAGGAAACAAATCTTTTTGCACTGAAATAGTTTATAAAACAGTGTCCCTGGCTCTACAAAGAAATTCTCTCTGGGTTGTGAGCTAGAGTGAAAGTAAAAAAAAATTATTTCTGAGAAATGGCTTTGAAGTTTACTTATTTTTCAATACATCCAAAATCAAGCATACAGAAGAAAATAAAGTACTCAGTCTCAGAACAACTCTGTTTCGATTTAACAACTGGAATGGATGGCACCAAAGAGAAAAAAACAATATATAACAGAGGTTTTTCCAAGAAGCTTCCAAGGGCAGTTCAATATCTAGCTTGCTAGCATATTTTCATGCTGAAGACACCTTCCCCATATCTTTTTTTGGCTACGTGGAGCAAATTAAGTTGTTTTATTTTGAGGGGCTCTACAAATTCCTAATTAGCCTTGATAATACCTCATAATCCTTCTAGTTGTCCACAGTTGCCATATGTGCTTCAGTTTGATATAATCCCTTCCGTAATAATATTCCAGGAAGGGAAACATCAATAACTTGCATTGGCCTTTCATACCTAGAGCAGAACTTTTCAGGGTCCCATTTACCCCTCTGATGTAACATGGCACCAATAGCCCAAACTTGTCTCATGATCCAGGAGTCACATTATAAATAAATGAGCAGAAAGACCAATTAAGTTTCATTAATTTAGCATTCACAATTACACAGGTTTATTTCTTCTGTGGAGACTGAGTTATTTTGTGCACAGCACTCCTAAAGAGATGACAAAGAGACTCATGAGGCATCACAGGCACATTTATTTTTCGCAACGCATTGCTGCTGTCAAACACCTTCCTTCTTTCCCTTGGAGGAGGAGGACTATCTTTTTGCAAAGACAAGGGCAGTCTTCAGGTCATGACTAGATTACCTTTGACTTCTATTTCATTGTACTGCGCAAATATCTAGCCTCCTTCCTCATTCTCTTTTTATTTATGTGGCTGAAGAGTCTTTTGCTTTTTTGGCTTAGATTGACTGAGAAAACGTACCTCAGCTTGATTAATCAGTTTGCATTCCCTCACTATGCTGCTTAACCTCAAAAGACTGGTTAAATATTTTTCTCAAACTCTCTGCTTATTCCCAGGTCTCTTAGATGCATTTATTTTTCAGTTCAGTCTAAAGCTACTTTTTACTCCATTTTCCCCTCTATTTTTCCATTTCAAGTTTCCTTTGGCTTTAAGATCTTTCAGTTAACTTGCAGTAAATTTCCCATTTTGTTTCCCCAAGTCCCAAGTTCCTGGATATGATTCAGTTTATTTCACTCACTGTTACCTTTACACTCTTTTTGTTTAAAAGGAAAAAAAAAAAAAAAAAAAAGAGTTACTTACCTGTAAATATTTCTTTTTAAAACAAAAAGCCCCCCATGCACACTTACACCAAAAGCTTTCAACTATGTGTACTGGTATTGGCTGGGACAGAGTTAGTTTTCTTCATAGTAGCTGGTATGGTGCTATGTTTTTGATTTGTGACCAAAGCAGTGTTGAAGATACACCAATATTTTAGCTCAAGAAGGCTAGGGGTGCACAAGAAGCTCGGAGGTGACACAGCTAGGACTGCTGACCCAAACTGACCAGAGGAATATCCCATTCCATATGACATCCTGCCCAACAACAAAAGCTGGGGGGGGGGAGGGGGCGG